ACCATTTTTTAAGGATTTTTTAAGGATTTTTTTAGAATTCCAATGTACTTCACAATTAATTAGGAATATCAACACAAAAGAAACCTCTGAATATCACTGTGTCTAAGTCAGGGTCTGCTAGGTAGGGTCTTATCAATGAGTCCACCACTAAACCCAGGATGAAACGTGCCCTCCCTTCGTTTTCTCCCTCTCTCTCCTACCTTCTCTCTCTTCACATGATCGCAATAGGGTAATAGCGACGGTACCCTTCTGTAGTGCTGTGTTGTTACACATTGGATTGGTTACGTTGATTATTCTAGAACCCTCGATTATTGTTAGTATCTGCGATTGCTCGTAAAGAATCGTTTAGATCTGGGTGAGCTCGCACGTGGTGTCCGCCTAATAAAAACTGAATCCAGTGGAAGGGCTAACTTTGGCAAAGTAAAATTAATGGCAATGTCAAATAAATCTTGGGTTGTCCGGAAAGTTCATGTCGATTTTTGGTAGGTGTTACAGGTCTGAATATATCGAAGTGGTTGAAAACAAATAACATGCATACATCCCTTAAAAGGTGGAAAGGTTGTGGAACAAAATGGCATCTATGTAATTCAATGAATATATATTAAAATTCAAACGTGTTTTTGAATGTTTCTTAGAAATTGGCACCAACTTTCTGGTTCAACCTAATACTTATTTATATCCAAACTTAACTATTATATTATTGTTAGGAGTTTTCAGCCGCGACTGTCTGCAGTAATCGAGGTTCTGCCGTATCTCCTTGTGAAGGGGCTGTTGGAGTTATCCATTATCCTGTTCAAAGTATGATAGCACTCATGGTCCAGAGATTCGGATTGTTAAAGTAATTCATGGACAAGGAAACTTGACCATGATGCAAACGAAAATATCGTGCAAAAATAGCATTCATGGCCGAGAGATTCTGTTTATCGAAGTTATTCATGTACAAGGAAATTTGACATTGTGGAATTGATTCCGTGTACACTATCGGCCATTAATTTCACTGCACCGCCATATTTGTGATTTTTTCGAGGTGGACGCAAGTAAACAGCTATTTGGTGATAAATTCATATTTATTGAAGCGGAGCGATCATATTTGAATTCATTGACGAGGTTTCCAAACAGTTGGATAGATAATTTACTTGAATTTGGTTTCTATTGAAGTACTCACAATACTTCTATCTTTCAGTCCTCAGGGGCTGTAGCAGTGTGTGTAGCTACAGTACGGGCTTAGCAACCCCGAGGTACCCGAGCTAGAGGGGGACCAGTAAGGGAGAAGTAAGAGATACTGCAAACAATATTAAAATAATGCAGGAATCATGTAAGACGATGATGAGAAGAATGGAAATAAGCTAGTAATAAGTAAGCAGTAGTGCAATAACTCTGTATAATAATTTTCGCACTTTAAATAAATGAATGAATGACTGTCTTCCATTTCTATTGCAGTACATCTCACAGATGATTTTTTATTCATAATCCGATCCCATCTGTCACGATAATCCCACAAGGGACGTTGCGGAAATCATATACTCTTCTGTTGTAAAGACCACTATCTGATCTTATGAATATCAAGTATTTTACGACAACTATATTTTGATATGATATGAATGAGTGCAGACATATCTTACAGTAGTAATTCGACACATCTGTATAGAGCAACCGTCGATTACATTCGTCCTTCTTCGAAAAAGTTATAGGTGTGATGGTGTATAAATAAAAGATGTAAACAAAAATACCCGCGGAGAAATGTCACATTCGATAATAGGATCACGATACTCGGAAGTCGTATTGACATGGCGCAATGCAGAGGTCAATCGAGAAACTTGAATTTCTCATAACATGTTATCTTATCGTATGTAAAACTAGATTATGGAGTCAAGCTTTTGTTTCCATGACCTCGCTTATCATACGATGTTGAACTAATCAATTTTACGCATTAATGGGTCAGGCTTACGGGTCACGGTTTTTGAACGTGGGGTACAAAGATACGTATAATGTGAGAAACAATACTAGTTTTCAAATGATACTTTCTACATCATATTTATTTAATCGTAATACATATATTTGTTTTTCTAGACAAGTGGAAACTTATTTTATGTAGAAAAATGCCTAAAACTTTGGATCTTTATTTATTCATTTTCTAAGTGTAATTTGAAAATTAAACATCTGTTCGCCACTTTATTTTTACTGAAAATAGAGCCTGTTCATCAAGAGAGCATTTATATTTAACGATACCGAAGATAACGACATTTATTGGAGCTATTTGGTTTTCAGTAGCGTTTCTGTTCACACATACAAATCCACAGAGTGTCCCTAAAGTTTGGATTTTACGTATAATATACATATATTAAATATGGTTTTGTCGAAAGAAGAAATTAATCCAGACTTTAGGGACACACAGTCGTGTTTATTATTAATTAAGATGTTACCTACCGAGTAAGAAAAAAAAAGTACTTTTACACATAGAGAAAACCTGAAATTTTGTATTTTTGTCTAGAATCACACAAAGGAATAGTAATCTTTCGAAATCATGCTAGTAAATTTAACATAAATTTAACATAAATTTCATTTTTGTCTCTTCTATTCTAACATGGTCACTGGTGCAGTTTATTTAAATATTCTTATCTTTCAAATGTTTAATAAGGAATTAATAGTATTATTTATCTATAGGTGTAAATTAATTAAAAAATTTTAAAAAATTCCGTTATATATGTCTTCTTATCCAAAATGTCACTGACATTTTTCAAAATTTGTCATATAATATTACTGGAGAAATCGAACAGAAGTGTGATTTTTAATTTTTGCCCATTACCCTCTAGGACGAGTTACAAACTCGAGCCTTGGTTCGTATTCTTCTTTTTCTCGATAAGCTATCGAATTTGGTTTAGTGAACTTTGGACTTCTTTATTCGAGCATACCCTTTAAATATACTGTAATCTCCAGCGACATTTGAGTGTACTTGAAAAGATTTTTCAAAACTTAAAAAGTTGTTTATTTTACGGATATTGGAAGTATAGTGTTAACTTTTTTTTCAATAAATTATAACTGTGGATAGGCAATTAGATTAGAATAAAGTTTTGAGAGCTTCCATTAAGAGACTGACCAAATAAAAATTAGAGAATATTCCTTAAAATGAGAACACACGGTTGATATTGTAATAACAATATGAATTATGTCAGACAAATTTGCATCGAAATTGATCCCGTTAAGACAAAACGTATTAATGCAACAGCCTACGAAGACGCAACTAACCGATCGTTTTTATACAAAGTCTGGATGCACTCTTGTCTAAATGCGTGCAAGCTGGGAAGGAAGTATCAAACTAGATAAGCGTAGTTACGCTCATTACTTCCGTCTAGCGTGGATGCTACGCGTTACATTCGTCCGTCCGCTGGGAGATTCGTGGATTGGATCCTTTCTAATGTAATCCCGCGATCATTCATCTGTGGATAAGATATTTTTCGATAATAACGTCTTTTCTAATAGCTATTTCATCATAATGGCTAATTTTACGCGGCACGCTCCACCATTTGTCCATTCGATTGATTTACGAGCCATAAAACTGGATAGAACTGTAAAGTAATAAATATCCACACGTGTAACTTAGGCTTGAGTTACACAAACGTCTCTCATATTGTAATTTTTCTCGGTCGTCTCTCGAATAGTCGCATAATATCTAATGGCAAAATATTATATTTGGATATGTTACTAGTTAAATAGAAAGTTATTTCATAAAATACCAAACTATGGTAGTTAAATTATAGAATAGTTTTATTAATTGATAGTTTAACTAGTTATTAACTATTTATTAATACATTAGTTTAGTAAAAACTGTGAGGAAAAAGGATGTAATAATTTATATTTATTTTAAAAAGTATAACCGCTCATTCTATTGACCACAGTTGTTTTTTATTCATTACAATAACTGAAACTCATCTAATTCTTTAAGTTATAATTTTAATTCTGTCTATTTATTTCATACTTTGTTTAGTATAAATGTGTTCTTTTAATAGAATAACTAGTTAAAGTATTAAATAACAAAACTATTTTATGATGTTAATACCGTAGATTAGAATTTTATGAAATAAGCAATTAATATATTACTATTACATATTAGTAATATATACATTTTATATATTACATTACTCCTGAAAAAGCTTTTACTATTTGACGATTACAATCTTTTGTATGCTGGATGGCAAATTCTGTCAACGTAGTGAAAATCTACCCATCTTAAAAGCATAAACCTGAACGAATTAGAGGCCATAGAGTGCTTAATCGAATTTTGTTTTAAACACTTTTGTTCGATGTTCGGAAATTAGAATGTTCAGATAATACAATAATCAGTTACTAAGAATAATGGGGCTTTCGATACAGGAGGCTCTACTCTAATTATATGTAAGAAAGTATACAATAAAGTGTGATGCAACAAACTATAGAAACATTAATACTGTCTTTAAGAAACTACAACAATATTCGAAATCCATCATTTGATCGTTAGTAGTAAATTTAGTATTAAAAAAAAACAAATTGTCAATTTCCACCAATCGCAGTGATACAACAAACTATATAAACCGTACCACTGTCTCTAATAAACTACAACAATGTTCGAAAACCATCATTTGATCGTTAGTAGTAAATTTAGTATTAAAAAAAAAACAAATTGTCAATTTCCAGCAATCGCAGTGATACAACAAACTATATAAACTATACTACTGTCTCTAAGAAACTACAATAAAGCTTGAAAACCATCATTTGATGGTTGTCAATTCGTAGCGATCGACTGGTATGACAAGTGAACGTGTCAGGAAACAAGGGTGAACATGAAATTGGCGATCGAGCAGAACGAAAGAAAAATCGCGACGGACGAAGAGGTGCCCCGGTGGAAATCGAACCGAGAATCGCCGAGATGGTACGAGAAAGGACGAGGGGCACCGATCGGCGCGTGCTCCTGGCTGGTAGCGGGAGCTCCGAACCGCGCGGCAACCAGTTCGAATTCAGCATTTCTCGAGGGAGCGTTCGAGCGGGCATTCTCTTTCTCGTGCTCGACTTTACATCGTCGACAATGACACGCCGGTGCCCGGAAACGTGCAGGTGAAACCACTCGACGGAAACGCGCGCAAGATTGTTCGGTGTTCATCGAGGAATAGTGTTTGCCAAGGAGTAGTAACCATTGATAGGAGCCAGTAAACGTTCCAGTACCAGTATACGAGCAGTTAGTCTCATCGATTTCGAGAAAGAGAAATCCTCGCGCGATACAATCATGGTCAGTGGATAGTTTTTCTTTTGTGATAAGTGCACGCTATTGAAAACTCGAATTCGAGTGTTTGGAGTATTCTGATACAGTAGACTCCTGTACGATATGATTAACTCGTTACGCGTTGTATAGGATTTCGAGATTTAAGATATGGGGGTGTCTGCGAAACTTTCTTTCGCATAATGTGTATAATCTAAAGTTATTGCCGTAGCATCTTTTACTTTTTGTGTTTTATTGAATGGAACAGTATTTTATAAGTAAGTGACATACACATAGTCAGTCCCATAGGTATTCGTACCCTTTACGTTTATTGAAGACATTTTTTTAAATTGAATGACAGCTTTGATGTTTTCAAACAAATTTTTAATTATAAATATATATTCATGCATGTTCATATTTATAATGGAATGTTTATTTGGTAATGTGAGATCTATTATTTAATTTAGACAAATTTCTTCAATAGACATAGTGGGTACAAATACTTATAGAACTGACTATGTATATTATTGATTAAACAAAAAATGTTATTAAGATACGTAACAAATATTTTTTATATCATTCAAATTTCGCTCTAAAACTACTAACAATCCGATCAGTTTGATCCATCTACTTCCTTCTTAAAATAGTAGTCGCAAGTATCCTTAGCGCGTTGCAGGAATTCGCGTTATACAGGAGTCTACTACGATCAATCCAACGATTAGAGATCATCTTCATAGTTACAGAACTATATAAATCAGGATCATAGCCATTTAAATATAAATATCAATTTTCCTACAAAATTGATATGTTATGTCATGATTTTTAATTTTCAAACAAAAGCTTACATTAACGAGGGTACACTGAATAATAGATTGCAGCAATTATTCATCAAAAGTGCAACAGTGGATTTACCAGTGACCAGTTTGTATGAAACAATATTACGTCGTAAATAACGATGCTTTGTTTACTTTATGATGTACGTTCTTCCTGTTATTAAACTATAATAAGCAATTCTAGCATCAGTATTCACTACGCAATACTATTTCATACAAATTATTCGCTAAGAAATCTACAGTTATATTTTATATAGACTTGGGTTGCATACATTTTTTTCTATCGATAGTTAATGACTATACTGCGGATCTTTATCCAAAGTAAAATCTTCGCGAACATGGTTACAAAATTGAACCTAAATAGGAATTTATTTTATTCTGCAAATATTGTAACATGAACTTTACATTTCAATCTTTTTTATATTCTTGCATATTGTTTGCATTTTGTAGTTCCTTGCACATTCAAATTTCCTATAAATCCATAAAGATCCGCAGTCTATTAATGACGTTCGATTTTATTATGGTTAATTTTGTATAGTTAATATTTTAAGAAATATTTATAACAACATGCTTCGATCAAAACTTTTTCTTCAAAAAGTTCATCCCTAAAAGATTGTTGTCTAACACTAAGTCCATTTAATATTATAACAGCAAATAATCATTCTATCGCTGCTGACGATGGGAGAGTAGAAAAACTCTCTTTAGAGAAAAGTCTCTTATAAACGAATAATTATTTAACAAAGACGTTATCTCGCAAAAATTGAGTTTGGATAACAATCTAAAAATCGTGAAGTTGTTTACTATTTCGTCTTCATTGCTTTCAAATTCGAAATTGTTGTATACTCATGACTCCATTCGATATAATTTTGAAAAACAAGTTCACGATTATTTCAAACAATTATCTCAAATAATTATTAAACAAAATATTATGTCATTTGACATAATATCGGAAATAATACAATTTCAAAAGTGCTTAGTTCTCTCTCGTAATACTTCGTTAGATGTGCACCATTGCTTGAGAGTTTCTGAACTTATTGTTAGTTTGCCGAGAGTTCACGTTGCTCGAAATGCAATCCTTCATTTTTAAAATAGTTTATTTAAAATCTGAGGGGGTTTCAGGCAAGTCGCTAACGTAATCACTTTAATTCGATGTTAATACGAGCATTCAGCGTAACTGTTGCCGCTCTACAGTCTGTTTACGCAGCATGGTCGGTTTATTAACTTTCGATTTCCCGTAGATCGCTTATCAGGTTAGTTTCGCCAGGTTACGGGGAACGCGTGCGTAACTTGAGTGTCCAGTCGCGTTAACCGTGCAGTACAGTGGCTAACTTGTGTGACCACCGAATCAATTGCCCATCCAAGTACAGTGGTTGGAATTAGTGACCACTTTACTTCGATAATTTTCCTTCACACATTTCCACCTCTCTGCAAGTGTATACATATTTTCTTTTGTTTTTCCTGCGTCCAAAACGTGTCATAAATTATTTAAATTCTCATGTTAAGGATTTTGAACTTGTTGAGGGATATTGACACGTATGTGCACGTTTGCTTTTATATCAAAATTATTATTACCTACGATCGTAGTACTCTTTAGAAGTAAAACATATACCAAAAGGACACAAAACCACACGAGGTTCACTAAAAACTTGAAATTTAAAACAAGTGTAACTAACAAATCATGGTCATTGCTTCAATTACAAATCTATGAAAAAGACTCGTTCGAATTGAGTAGCAAGATAATATAACATTATCAGGGATTTAACCCTTTGCACTCGAGGTCTTTTTTTCTGGTTTCTATCACCAACTCGATATGTTTCTTAGCATTCTATTGCTATGAATTCTAAGCTATCTAGATTTGAGAATGTCACTTTTACCTCGCCGATAATCATTTTATTGACACTTCGAGCTCCAAAGAAATTAAGCTTAAAGAAATATTACGTATTGTAGATTTGCTGCGTAAAACCTAATGGTGACTTAGAGTGACCTCTCCAGTGCAAAGGGTTAACACTACTTCTATCTATTTCGATTTTATGTACATACAGACTAGCTGTGTCCTGCGATTTCACCCGCGTGGAATACTATTCTTATTCTATACTTAGAATGTACCCAATATTTTGGACTAATAAATTTCCTAACTAAATTGTCTTTATAATAAAGGAACAGGAAATCAATTATAAAGGAAATTGAAAGGAATTGCAATCCCTGTTCATCCCTTCAGGGGTTGATTGTTTAGAATGTCAAAATAGGTGTTTGATTAATTATATCAAAGAGCATTAAGACTAAGTTTCAAGCAAATCCGACCAGAAATAAAATATTCTTCATATAAATGTTGCAACGCCTTTTTATCCTCTTAGGGGTTGAATTTCGAAATATTCTTTCTTATTCCTTGTATACGTCATAAAGGAGCCTCTGAGAGTCACCTCTCAAGTGTAAAGGGTTAACCTAGCGAAGGAAAGAAGACAAGTTTCCGAGATGGTAGAATGAAATTTCTCAATTGTCATCGATCGTTGAATGGAAAATGCAAACCAGGGTTTGCTATGCAACCCGATGTCCGAAGGTATTATCGTCGCCATTACTTTTAATACAGTCGATTGTTCTTGCGTCGTAAAGGTAAGCCGTGCCAATGTGCATCACAGCGACCGGTCAATCAACCGCTGGTGTTTATACCCCTTTGAGCATGATCGTCCCCATAACAAACTGTTGACCTCGGTGCAGAGGGGAATTACGAGTTACTCGTTACCGGCGAATTAACGTCGAGGGGACGCTGCGACTCTGGGTTTAACGTTTTTTAATGCGAAAATAGCGCAGCAATAGTTGTCAAGACTGGCAAGTGAACTACGTCGATTATAATTCAGGTTGCGAGGGTGTAACCTTTTATTTTAGACGAAAGAAAGTTTTTATTTTCAAATCTCATGGAGCACGACTGAACATTGCCAATCATATTGTTTACTTTAGATTTATTCTTTGCAAAGCTATCTTACGTCTATTCCCTCAAATATTACAATTTAAGGTGGTACATTTTTATTTTGTTTGTTTCCAAATCTCATATGGCATCACTAAATCATACGAAGCAAAATGTTTACTTTAGATTTCTTTTTCACGAAAGTACTCTTCATTACTTTGCCTCAAATCTTACACTTTAAAGGCGTGCTCTTTTATTATTGATCAGAAAAAAGATTTTTCTTCAAATTTCATAGAACAGCACCCGAACATTGCCAAGGAAAATGATTGCTTCAGATTTTTTCTTCGCAACAGCATCAGTTACCTTGAATTGTACTTTTATTCTATTCGAAATATAGTTTTTATTTCAGAAATTTTTAAATTATTGTACTTCATTGAGTTCAATTAACGTAATAATATCGAATCATAAATTTAATTTATTGACACAAACAAAGAGCATTCGCGAGATGCCATCTTCCTTTTCAATTTTCATGTAATCTTGTAGGTTTTTTAAGATTTAAAATGAGATCAGGTTAAAACGCGTTGAAACGTGTATTTTACTATTTTCGCAAAGAAGTATGTACCGGATAGAACAAGTACAACATACATATTCTTGTTAACTTTCAGCGACATTAGGAAATATTTGAATCTTGTAGGTAACAGGGTACAGTGTCAAAAAGATGAATCAATGAAGTACAATAATCTTAAAATCTCTCAAATAAATACTATATTTCGAATAGAATAAAAGTACAATTCAAGGTAACTGATGCTGTTGCGAAGAAAAAATCTGAAGCAATCATTTTCCTTGGCAATGTTCAGGTGCTTTATGAAATTTGAAGAAAAATCTTTTTTCTGATCAATAATAAAAGAGCACGCCTTTAAAGTGTAAGATTTGAGGCAAAATTATGAAGAGTACTTTCGTGAAAAAGAAATCTAAAGTAAACATTTTGCTTCGTATGATTTAGTGATGCCATATGAGATTTGGAAACATAAACAAAATAAAAATGTACCACCTTAAATTGTAATATTTGGAGTAGACGTAAGATAGCTTTGCAAAGAGTAATCTTAAATGAACGAATTAATATTTAATATTAACTATCGATAAAAATAATGGAGATTTCACTGTCACTCTAAATTGTCTAGGATTCTTTTAAATTTAACTCGATTTTCGTTACGCGCTGAAAACGCGAGATGTTCATATATTAGAGGCTAACTCGAAGTCACAGCTGACTGCTGCATTTCCCTCGTTTATGCATT